TTATCAAACTAGGGCTGCCACACTTACTGATAAAACATTTATCATGTTATTGTTTATTGTTACATTTATTATTACAGTCAAGATTTTAAGGATGCTCTTTGCCATTTCTTATGATAGTAAAGGATATAGCCAATGCCAATAAAAATGTTTAAAATAGTAAAATAAATAAAACAGATGTAAGGTTTTAATAAGAAGCAGCCAAAGGTTAAAATTATTGCAAGGTATAAATGTGTAAAAATAAATTTCACTCCTATATACTGGTAAAAACATTACTAAATACTATTTTTAAGAAATATATATCATCTGTAGTAGTGACAAAAAGTCAAAAAGAGAGAGAACAGCTAGGAATAATCTCACAAAAATCTGTACAAGATTTTTATGAAAAATTCTGAAAGATTAGAAAAGACCACAGTGAGTGAAAAGCAAGCTGTGTTTAATGGCAAGAACCCTAAGTATTGTATTTTTTAAAAATGCAAATTCTTTCATGAATTAGTTTATAAACTCAGCGCCGTTCCTGGCACAGTCCCGGCGGAGTTTCTCAGTGGAGCGGGACTTGTTGCCTCTACAATGTGATAAAGCAACAAGACGGGAGGGTTGGTGGGAAGGCCCGTAGCAAAAGTGACGGAAGTTCCACCACGAAGGCCCTGGTGTGACAGAGCTGGACACACAGACCACGGCACAGACGCCGGAAACCAGCACAGGCTTTTGGGGAAACTCGATAAATTCCCAGGTGGCATTAAGAAATCAGCTGGGGCGGGACAGGGACGTAGCTCAGTGGCACTGAGCCTACCTCGCCAGGTTCTGAGTTTGATCCCGGTACCAAGAAAGAGACAGAGAGAGAAAGAAAGAAAGAAAGAAAGAAAATCAACGGTGGGTGGGGGAGCGGGGTAAGGATCTGTGCAATTCGTGGTCTGGGACAACAGGGTGATACGTTCAGAAAGATTCCAGTTGGCTCCCGACACCACACCCTATATGAAAACAAATTCTGTGTGGGCTAAGGATCTCAATATTAAAAATAAAACTTTTACAGCCGGGGATTTAGCTGAGCGGTGCCGCTGCCTGCCTCACAAGCCCAAGTCCCAAATTCTATCCCCAGGACAAAAAACAAAACAAAACAAAACAAAAAACAAAAAACCCAAAACACTTTTAGAAGAAAACATAGGAGAGTACCTTTATGATGTGAAAAATAGGAGGAAATCTCTTTCTTGGTGGGGAAAGGGGAGTAGAAAGGAAAGTCTTAATTTTTTTTTTTTTTTTTTTTGGTACCTGGGATCAAACTCAGGTCCTTGCACTTGTGAAGCAGGCAGCAGAACCACTGAGCTAACTCCCCGATCCTGTCTTAAGAGTTTTTAAGAGCATGAATCATACTGTTATATTGATTAATACGATTAGATTAAAAGGGAAACTTTTAATAGTAGCGCTTGCCTACCATGTGTGAGGTCCTGAGTCTGATATGCAGACCAGAAAAAAAGAAAGAAAGAAAGAAAGGAAAACTTCTATTCAAAAAAGGCAATAATAGGGCTGGGAAGCTAGCTCAGTGGTGCTGCCGCCTGCCTCCCAAGAACAAGGTCCCAAGTTCTGTCCCCGTTACCAAAAAAAAAAAAAAAGAGAGAGAGAAACAAGAAGCCATAATTAGGAAATAACTCCAAAGTATATAAATTGTAAAAGTGTGTTTGTGTGTGTGTGTGTGTGTGTGTGTGTGTGTATATATAGATAGATAGATAGATAGATCCTATAATTCAATACAAAATACCCCATAGTAAATTGGCCCATTACATGCACAGGTAATACTCAGAAAAAGAAATCTGAATGTTCACTAGACATTTTAAAACAAAACAATCTCAACTTTACTACTTATCAGGGAAATAGGAAAATACAAGGTAAAATGTAAATGAGATACCATTTCATATCCATCAGATTGACCAAAATTAAAAAGTTGACATTAACAAGAATGGAGGAAGGGAATAAAAAAGGAAAGAAAAACCACAGAAATAAACGTCCAACAACAAAGGAACAGATAAATTGCAATGCATTCACATAAAAGATACTACATAGCTATTTAAAATAAATGAACTAGAAGAAAATGCGGTGTTTGCAAATGGAGTACTACTCAGCAGTAAAGAATGAGAAATCAGAGACATTTGCAGGAAATGGATACATTGAGGCCATACTCTCGGGTGAAATAAAGAGAACACACGTGTACATACCAAATAGTTTCTCTGGTGTGACAGACAAAGTGTAAATAGGATCAAAACGTATAGCAGATAATGTGGAAGTAGGCCGGGTAGGGGAAAAGAAAGAAGGGAATGGAATTAACATGAGAAAAGGAAAAAATGGAAACAAAGTCTGTAAATAGGGAGGGGTAGAGGGGGTGAAGGGAGGGTAGGGAGAAGGGGAAAAATACGGACCAAGATATGTTATGCAAAGGTACAAATTTCCAATGATCAATGTCATATTCTATACCTAAAATGCAGCAATAAAATTATTTTTAAAAAATAAACTGGAGCCTAACACATCACATAGTTAAATCTGAAAATTATTTTAGCTCAGAAAAAGTGAAAAAATGCTGTAGCAAGATAGCAGCATTTACGCAGAATTTGAAGGCGTGCAGAGCACAGCCTGGGCACGCTCTGGGTTGTAGACACAGGCAGTAAGAGCATAAAAACACCCAGAAGGATGGGATCAGGGAACACATATACACAGGAGCTGTCAATGTCATCTGCTGTGTTTTATTCTGTTTAAAAACAAACCAACCAACCAACCTGAAGCAAACACAGTGAAGCACACAGATTTTACACACCCAGGGCAGGCGTGCGAAGTTGCCCCTACTTCTCTGAACATCGGAAGGCAATGGCTGCAGCTGCGGGGTGAGGTCGTAGCAGGAGGGGACACAGCACAACCCTGGAACTGTGCACCCTGCTTTCCCCTCTTAGAAAAGTGCGTGGCACAGAGTAGGGTCGGACAAGTGTGTGCTGAATGAATGAACCCCTGCAAGGTGCTGAGAAACGTCAGAGCCTGGTGTGTTCTGAAGGAGCTGCCCAGAATAGGCTTTTTTTTTTTTTTTTGGTACTGGGGATTGAATTCAGGACCTTGCGCTTGCAAGGCAGGTAGCAGAACCACTGAGCTAAATCCCCAGCCCCAGAATAGGCAATTTCTGCCCCAGCCATAGACTTTCTCTGAGGTGCACTATCTCGTTTCTCTCATTTCCTCCTTGCAGCAGGGTGGGACCATTATTATATCCTCACTGGACCTGGGAGGAAACAGAGGCTTAGAGAGCTGGGAAGCTTGCCTGAGTGTAACAGTGATTAGAACCAAGTCTGTATTCCATCAGAAACAGCTGGATTTTAATCTGCAGCTAGTTGCAGAATTGGGAAACAGGGCTGGAGGTTTAGCTCAGTGGCACGGTGCCTGCCTTGCAAGTGCGAGTCCTGAGTTCAATCCCTAGCACCAGAAAAAAGGAAACAAACTAGGCAGGGTGAGTGCGGGGCATGTGGAGGCTTCAGCAAGGAGGAGGCACTGCAACTTGGCCTGCCCAGTGGACTGGAGCCTGACACGTCACAGGAGAAGTACACACTCATGCCAGGATCTGGCTGTCTCTGCTCTCTGGCCAATGGATGTTGTTGGAGAATCCACTGGGCTGACACCACCCACGGGGTGACAACAGATTGAGCTGAATGGAACCTCCAGTTTGAGAAAGTCTGCTCTTACTTTTATACACAGAGGAAACACCAACTCAGAGCCGTCTTTAGAAATCCCGATGCCAATAACAATGGCTTTGGTCATCCCCATTGGCCCTTTGCTGTATGCAGGGCACTGGGTTAAGCCTTTATATGCTTGGTGGCCGCTGATGTTCACAGCGACTCATGGGGCAGGAACATTTTCAGGGATGAGGAAAGCCAGGCATGGAGAAGGTGTGTAGGCGTCCTGCCCAGAGGCAGTGCAATTAGTAAGTGGTGGAGCCAGAGGGAACCCGTAGCTGTCATCTCCCCAGCCTGTGACACCCAATTAAAGCAACAAGGGTTTAACTGCTTTCAATTGGAATAAACGAGGACATGATACAGGCACAATAAACCAGACACCAAGCTTATCATTACTCTCATGAACACCTGTCACACGTTCGCTGCTACGAAAAAAAGCTCGTAAAATGAGGTGGCACTGAGTTCCAGGAAGTGAAGTGGACACTCACAGGAGGTCTCCGGACAGCCACACCCGATGATACTCTGGTCACGTTTTGGTTGATGACGAGGTTTCCCGACACTCAAACAAGGGCCCTCTCCCTCCACTCCCTGATTAATTTCCGAAAGAGCGCGCCGATCTTGATCATAGTAAACATAATGACCCCGGTTACGATGGCCTGGACAACTACAAGCAGGATGTACAGACCCCAGAAGAGGCTGTGAGCCCCACCCTCCTCGCCCGCGGCCACCCGCTGCGCGCGCACCCAGGGCTCG